CCACCCACCAGCCAGCGCGCCCCTCCGCCCCGAGACTTATTTCGGCACGACGCACTCCCTCCGCATCCCCCATCCACCAGCCAGCGTGCCCCTCCGCCCCGACACCTTTATTTCGGCACGGCACACCCCTCCGCCCCGACACCTTTATGTCGGCACGGCACACCCCTCCGCACCCCCCCCACCCATCAGGCAGCTCTCCGACCCCTGTATTTCGGCACGGTACACCACTCCGCCCCGATCTCTTTATTTCGGCACGGCACACCGCCTCCGCATCCCCCCACCCACCAGCCAGCGTGCCCCTCCGCCCCCCGACCCATTATTCGGCGCGCTCCCCCCGCCCCCGCGCGCCCCCTCCGGCCCTGGCCGCGCTTTATTCGGCCAACCGGCAGCAACCCTCCGCCCCGGCCCCTGTATTTCGGCACGGCACATTCCATCCGCATCCCCCCCACCCACCAGCCAGCGCGCCCTCTGCCCCGACACCTTGATTTCGGCGCGGCATACCTCTCTGCCCCGACTTCCTTATTTCGGCACGGCCCACCCCGTCCGCATCCCCCCCCGCCCGCCAGCCATCCGCCCCTCCGCCCCGACCCCTTCATTTCGGCACGGAGCACCCCGCCGCCCCGATCATTTTATTTCGCCGCGGCACACCCCCTCCGCGCCCCCCCACCTGCCAGCCAGCGCGCTCTCCCGCCCCCGCGCCTTTATTTCGGCACGGCACACACCTCCGCCCCGACCCGTGTAGTCCGGCACGGCGCACCCCATTCCGCATCCCCCCCCACCCGCCAGCCAGCGCGCCCTCCGCCCCGGCCGCTCTATTTCGGCACGGAGCGCCCCTCCGCCCCGACCCCTTTATTTCGGCGCGGCACACCCCCTCCGCATTTCCCCACCCACCAGCCAGCGCGCCCCTCCGCCCCGTAACTTTATTTCGGCACGCCACCCCCCCCCCCCCATCTCCTCACTTGCCGGCCAGCGCGCCCCCTCCGCCCCGCGAAATCTTTATCTCGGCACGGCCCCCACTCCCTCCCCGCGCGCCTCGAGCGCCCCCTCCGCATCGCCCCCGCCCGCCAGCCAGCGCGCCCCTTGACCCCGACCCTTTTATTACGCACCCCCCCGCACACCCACCCACCCACTCACAAGCCTGCGCGCCCCTCCAGCCCGACACCTTTATCTCGGCACGGCACACCCCTCCGACCCGACTCCTCCTGTATTCCCTTGCACGGGGTGTCTAGAGCTCCGACCCATGTATTTCGGCACGACACCCACTCCATCACCCACCCATTCCACCAGGCAGCGCGACCCCAGCGCGCCCCCATCACACCCCGCCCACCAGCCAGCGCGCCCTCTCCGCCCCGACCTTGTTTATTTTCGGCACCGCAACCACGCGCCCCTCCGCACCTCCCCACCCTGCAGCCAGCGCCGCCCCGACTTTTTGTTATTCCGGCAGCCCCCCCCTGGCGGCGCGGCCCCTCCGCCCCGATGTCTTTATTTCGGCACGGCGCAGAGCCCCCTCCGCGCCAGCGGCCCCTTCCGCCCGACCTTAATTATTTCGGCACGGTACCTCCCTCCTCGCGCCCCCCCCGCGCTCCCCCACCCGCCAGCCAGCGCGCCCCCTCCGCCCCGACCCTTTAATTTCGGCACGGCGCTCCCTCCCCACTCCCCCCGCGCGCGCGACCATCTCCCCGCTAGCGCGCGCCCTCCGCCCCGACCCTTTTATTTCGACCCCCCCCCCCGTCCCACGCGCCCCCTCCGCGCCCCCCCGCCAGCTAGCGCGCCCCTCCGCCCCGGCCTTTCATTTCGGGCACGGCGCCCCCCCCCATCCCGCGCGCCCCCTCCGCATCCTTCCCGCCCGCCAGCCAGCGTGCCAGCCCGCCGGCCAGAGCGCCCCTTCGGCGCCGGCCCCGCCAGCCAGCGCACCCCCTCCGCCCCGACAGCTCGATTTTGGCACCGCGCCAGCCCCGCCAGCCAACGCGCCCTCTCCGCCCCGACCGCTCTACTTCGGCGCGGCACCTGGCCCCAGACCCAGCCTCCTCACCTGGCCCTGGCCCCAGCCCCCCTCGCCCCGAACCCTTTATTTTCGTTTGTCGTCGTCCCCCTGGTCCTGGCCCTCGACCCAGCCTTCGCCCTGGTCCTCGACCCAGAAGGTCCCCTCGTCGTCGCCACCCTGGTCCTGTCCTTGGACCCAGCGTCCTCCCCTGGCCCTGGCCCCGGCCCCCTTCTCCCTAGACCCTTCATTTTCGCTCGTCGTCGTGCCCTTGGCCTTTGGCCCTGGACCCAGCCCCCCTGGCGCCGGACCCTTTATTCTCGTTCGTCGTCGCCCCCCTGGTCCTGGTCCCAGCCCTGGGGCCAGCCTCCCTCCCTGACCTGGCCCCAGCCGCCCTTGCCCCCCTGGTCCTGGCGCTAGACCCAGCCCAACCCCCTGGTCGTTGCCCCGGCCCCCCTCGCCCCGCTGGCCCTGTCCATGGGCCCAGCCCCCCCGCTTGGCCCAGCCTTGAAAATCTATCGCGCCTCAGCTGCCAACGAAAACTCATTCGAGCAGATCCCAATCGACAACCGCTGATTCAGCACCGGGGCCCTTTCACCCACCTGCCCCTACGCCTCCTCCTCCTCCTCCTCCTCCTCCTTTTTGTTTCCTCGATCCCCCCACCTGCGTCTCCTCCTCCTTCTCTCCTCATATGTGCAAGAGCCAGAGCACGCGTGCCACTTGTTTGTGTGTCCCAGGGCCCCTTCAAACACCATGTCATGAGACGGATCAACGAAAGCGCACCGATATGCACATTTTGCAGTTGTCTGGCCCCCTCATGCCCGGGGTTTCGAAGCCCCCTCATGTGCGCGGGGCTTCGAAGCGAGGCACGGGGTAGCTAAGAACTCCTGCGACGGAATGTTGCCATGCGAGTTGATCGAGAGGACTGAACAACAGGTGCTGCAAAACAAACGTACATTCGTGCCATCACCCTGCGGAATCGAATCATGACGTGCGCACTTTCACGCAACTGTTCGGCTAGCTTGGGGCGAGGGTTGAAGACGCACGGAGGAGAAACGGGGCCGGCTGGCTGCTTGGCTAGCGCTCTGGGTTTAGCTCGAGGTTGATACTGAGGGGTCCCCGACAGCTCGGAAAACGTCGAGAGAAAAACCTCACACGCACGAATTTATAACGGGACGCGTCGGTGCCTCAGAGATCAGAACAGCCTCTGCCTCTCCTGCTGGCAACTCGATTCTTTTGGCCGTCTCTACGGCCAGCTTGTCCACCAGCTGGTTCCCCACCCAGGCGAACGGGAGCTCCCCTTTTTCTGCGGCCAGTTCGGGTGACTGGTGCGATTCGATCTTGATGATGACAGTCAGCTTCTCTCGAAGAAGCCGTTGGATCCGACGCCAATCATTCCGATGCCCATCAGGAATGAAAATTCAAGTGCTTTCGAGACGTTTTTCTGGACGTACGAGGAGTCGGTGACGAAGACGAGCTGTCGGCCCATAGGGGCCTCCTCCAGGAGCCTCAAGAGCGCGATCATCTCCCCGTGGTTGATCGTCGGGGCTCCCCATGTGGCTCCAGTCGAGACCCTCGAAATGACCGAACTTGGAGACGGATTGCTCAGATCGAAACCTTCGAAGACGATGTACGCCCAGGACACCCTTCGAAAACGAGGTTGGTCCGAATACTTTCCCACCGAGGCATCACCTGCACCCACAATAATGTTGGCGTTGGTCGGGAAGGGGCCGTGCGTTTGCACGAAAAGCTCAGACTCGTCGGGCGGCAATGAACCTTGTGTCAAAGCAGACGGTGTGAGGCCCCGAAGCCAGACAGCAGGCTGCGCATCGACTTGAGCTCGTGCCCTGGCCGCATGCATATCACTGCTGGTGACCACGGGTAGAGACGAGTGGCCGACCATTCCCGGATGCGATGGTAAGTGGACTCAACTTGACCGCTGTCGCAGCGGTCGCAACAAATCTGGTGGTGAAGTGGTATTATGAATTCGCTCTTTGGCCCACTGACCACCACAACAAATATTCACTAAAACCCCGGCCCAATTCTGCTGGTCTCGATCTCTAGCTCGCCGTAGTTGGCGTCGGACGTCGTTTGGGTCGATAGCATCGGCTACGTTCTCGCTCTCATCATGAGTGCCTGCTCGCTTCCATAGAACCCGTCGTACTGAGCCGGCTAAATCAGCTCGTATGTCGTCTAAGTCTATGGGGCCCAGTTTCGAGGAGCTCTGGAGTAGCCTGATACACATTGCTCAGATCAGAGACCCAATGCCAGGGGCCCACGGGATTCCAGTTGATGTTATAAAGGGTATTCACAACGCCCCTGGTGGGCCCCGCCACTTTACGCCAACGATGTTTGGGCTTCTCTGGTGTACTTGCAACATGCAAGGTCCAGTCTCGAGCTGCGAACCGTCGAGCTTCGGCATCAGACGGCAACCTGGCCATCCAGCTGTCGATCATCGTAAGAACCTGCGAGGCAGCGGGGTCCTGGTCACCCAGCTCCAGCTGCAACAGAGTGTCAAGGCAACGCCCGCGTATCGAACTCGTGAACGTGCCTCCGATAGCTCTGCGCCAAGCCTGCACCGCAGAGGGACTCATACCGTATACCGCTGCATCGTATTGAACCTTGGCATCTGATCCCCTGTGTATGACACGCTGTGCTGCACGCCTACCCGTACGCCCTGCACATATGAGTTTGCGCTTCTTACTTGCTTATTTACAAGCTGCTGCTCATCGTGCCGCTGCTTTGGGACGTGCTCGCATGCTTGTGCCTCTGTCCGTGCCAAGGTCGACAGCCATTGTGTGCAACCGGGATCTTGATATTGTGCTGTGCTAATTTCCGTGCAATGTTTCGTGTCAGTCCAACGTCACTTGCGATGACCTTGTTATTACTTGCGATACTGAGGTGTGCCTTGTTGCAAAGAATACCAGCCTTCGTGAGAGCCTGTGCGAGGAACCAGACAGAGCCATGTCTGCACTGCGAGATATCATCAATCCAAACGAAGTCTTGTGTGTACTTGTTG